CACAGTCCTAAGTGGTGACGTCGTCTTCCTCTTAGTGACTGCTGTTATCAAGATGGCGCTGCGGCCAGGATCTGGGGGAGGTGGCAGGTATTTTAGCCATTTTAAACTGACTCATTTCAGGGGAAGTAATTTGTGCGTGAAACATTCAACCCCGACAGTCGCGGGTCTTCACATTTAGCCACGAGGACGCCCACAAATATCGCGATAAAGGCTGGCTTAGTTTGTCGGAGCAGGGAGATGAGATGAGATGGCTGGTGGTCAGGTGCCACAGCTAACGTTAGCTGGCTCCTTCTGCCTTTACCTGTCCATGTTCAGAGTGGACCAGACTAACTCCACGGTGTGGTCATATTAACAGATTTCACGCTTAAGTTATTCTGTGGTAGTCATAGTGTCCATTGCTCTCGGTCTCTGGTGATATAACTTGCTTGATGAATCTCTTGTAGCATTGCTAGGCAGGCCTGTGGATGGCTGGTAGGGACAGATATTTACACTTTCTCAGTATTATGTTTTCTGTTATTAGGGTTAGGGTATGGTAATATGGTGTTGGCTATTTAGGAAGATAAAGCATTAGGACGTGAAGATTTGTGGGGAAGGGGTTGATTTAGTTAAGTTTTTGTCCCTGTAACACACCAAGCAGCAGAGACTCTAAGCCCTTCTTCAGGAGTCAGATTGCTCTAATAACTCTCTGCTGAATTACATAATCAGCCCTGTCGCACATGCATATTCCAGTAAGTAGCTGTAAATGGTGAGGAGATGTTCAGGTGTCTTATTAAAGCAGTGTGATGATGGTCTGCAGAGGAGATGAAAAGGCCAGCCTCATGATTTTTTCATAACACGAGCTCCAGCACCCTGAATAATAAATATATTCTGGCTACAAGGCTAGCCAGGTGATACTGATCTGACAGGTGAAACCAAAGCCCTCAAGACTGTCTGTGCCATTCTTTCACTGTGGTTGGTAAAGCCTCTACTGTATACTCTGGTAGATTTGGGCTATTGTCATTTATGAGATGGGCCATGCTTAACTTTGACTTTGGAACTCTTTTTGTAAAAAAAAAAAAAAAAGTATCTACTTCCATGGTGCAGTGTGACTTTTTTATAATCAGTGGTCCCATTTGGTAAAAAACAATCTTGGAAACTTCAATCTTGGAAATCTTGGAAACTGAGTAGCTGCAAGAAATGACAACGTGGGTATGATGAAAGTAAAATGTACCTGAATGCTAAAGTGCAAAGCCAGGAGGTGAAGCCTGTTTGAGAATTCCAGCAACCTTTTGTAGTTTGTAGTAGGGCTGTTCGATATAACGATATATATCGGATGACGATATAAAAACGTCTATCGTTTCATTTTACGCTATCGTTTGTTTCGTGGTGTCGCAAAATAAACTGTTTACGGCAATATTTTTTCACCGTTTTGATGGTCACTGTAGTGGCTATATTAATTTCTTAAAGTTCTCTCTTTCTCTTATATTTAATATAACCACACTACTGACGGACAAGCGCCTGTTTTTATGCGTTGTGGTTAGCAACAACGACGGTAACACCATCGCATATCCGCTTATGTACCACATAAACCTTTCACAATAAAGCTCAAGATCCTGTTGAGACTTTTCAAAATAAACTGAATCACGTGAAAGAGCAGATTATTAACGGATGAGAAGTAAAAACAGAGCCGCCAGGTGCTAAAAAATAAACCTTAGACTCAAACGTTAGAACAGGCTTTTCCCCGCAGCACGCCGTGTAATAAATACTCACAAAGAAAACGGCGGCTGTTACAACTTATGTCTAAAAATGTATCGTTTCATGCATCGGTTAAAACACTCGACTCCAGCTACATGACGCGCAGCTGGAAACACTTCCCGCAAGTCGAGCTGCCCGAGATTCACAGAATTTACAGAAAATGTTATATTTTTGTGATTTATATCGTTATCGGAAGATAGAATTCTTATATCGGGATATGAGATTTTGGTCATATTGCACAGCCCTAGTTTGTAGGCTCCATGCAGATCCTCTGTTTTCAACAGGGCATGTGATTAGATACTTAATGAATGTCAGATGATATCCTGTGCAGAAACCATACTTTTTACGCCAGCTATTTAGAATATTTCTTCTTCTCTCAGCTGCTCCCTTTAGGGGTTGCCACAGCAGATCACCTACCTCGATCTTACTCTCGCTCTACCCTTCTCTTCTGACACACCAACCCTCTGCATGTCCTTCTCACCACATTTGTGAACATCCTCTGAGGTCTTTTTTATTTCCACCTGCCTGGCAGCTCCATATTCAACATCCTTTGTCTTTTTTATCCACTATCCCTCCCCTGCACATGTTCAAGCCTCTCTAACTTTGTTTCCAAACTGGACAACTCATGATGTTCCTGTATATGAGAAAGAAAATGATTAGTGCTTGCTTTTCAGAGTGCTTTCGGTTACTTTTAGTGATGCATTAGTTGTAAAATTCTGGGCCGATACCAATGACATTTTTCCTGCTCTGTTTATTCCCTCTGTTATGTCAAGAAAACAAAGAAATCTTCATTATACATGGATATCTAAAGTTTTTTTTAAAAAGGGCTTTCAGCTCTGAAATACAAATAATGACATTAAAATAAATACAACTGATAAATCAGTAAATAAGATAACATTTTCTGAGTTCAGTGGTGGATCTGTTGGCTAATATATCAGCCAAATGTCAATCAGTTGGCTGATGTATTCGTCCTACTTACCTCAGTTTTTCACTTAAAGCAAGTTTTTTTCTTGTTTTGATTAATAAACAGACCAAAAAGCAAATGCATTTCATTCAGTGACTGAGAAAACGATCAAATCCTTTCATCTGAGAACCAGCAAATGTTTTGCATTTTTTTTTAAACTTTCCATTCATTGCATAATGAATCAGGGGACTTATGAAGTATCATAATTTAGTGGTGCCTTGATAACAAGATCGATACCAGTACAGATGTTTGATTATTTAAAATTCAGATGCTTTTTTTTTTTTTTTTTTTTTAAAGAGAAACATTGGTTATTTTTTATTTATTTATTTATTTTTTTATAGTATTTATCCATGTTCTACACGATTCTTCTCAGATCAGCTGGTTGTGTTCAACATCATCACTCATAACACTGGTTGAAGGGTGTTTTTCCCCATCTCTTTATTTTTTTTCTTCCATTTTTACTTATCGGTAAATAGCTTCAGACAGCTAATAACAGCCATCCTATAGATTCATTGGCTCTAGCCATGGCAACGTTTTCCTACATAATAGCATCTATGGAAGCAACAGCATTAGCAGCGAATGAGGAAAAAGTGCATTTGGAGGCAGAAAATTGAGAATTTCTAGCATGTTTTTTTTGGTAAATAACAAAGCCCTAAATAATCAGTTGTTTGTAAGTATATGCTTTAGATCTTTATGTAGCAGAAGTGGCAGGTCTATTAAAAGTAAGCTTTTCCTTTTTATAGGAGTGATTTTAAGTTTGCTCTCTATTCCTCTATGAGAGCAAATAATTTTAACAGTAACGACTCTGGCTGAAACTGTGCCTTCTGTCCCCAAGCATTTAAAGCAGTTTGATGGTAGCTATTAGATGAATCCAGACCTTTTACAAGGCTCAGGCCTGCCTGGTGTCCACAGCTGCTGTCGCCGCTTATCTCCCTCTATGTTAATCCACTCGGCCATGACCTCTGATTTGCTGAAGGATGGCAGACAGTAGTGCCGTCGTGCTCAAAAAGCTTTTTAAGCTGCAAATCTTCCAGTGAGCAGATGCGAGAATCTGAAACCCTCCGGTACTTGTCACATTACAACAGTATCCTGTGAGGGGAAACACTGGCTTCTTGCTTTTAGTTTAAATGTTTTTAGATGAACAGAGAAAAGAGGACCACTCATCAGCACCAAGAGTGCCCATAAATTCACATTAGTGTGAATTAAATGTGACAGACTCAGGAGGACTTGAACAAAGAGCTCTTGTGACTATGTCCCAAATCATAAATGTACAGTACTATGTTGAAGTTGAGCCACAGCAGGGCTGTAATTTCATGTACTACCATTTGGTAACACAAGATGGCACAGTGATTCAATTGAACCTTTTGTTTAAGCAGGCAAGTTATTAAGAGCACATCCATTTTAACAATGGAAGCCTGCAAAAGGCAAAACCTCTTGGAGAAATGGCTAACCCACACACCCACTGGTAAAACGGTGCCACCTGGTAGAGAAAGCTTTAGGTAAATTCTGCAGAGGGTAATTACAAAAAGTACCTTTAACCCTTAAAATAACAGATAATTTTGTCTCTTTGAAGTAAGCCCATGCAGACACCCCATTTCCATGTTATCATATTGGACACTTCAGAGTTCCTCTTGCATTGGGAAAACTCAAAATTTCAAGGATTGTAATTGACCAGTTTTCTAAAGTGGGATTTAAATTACTCAAACAAAAACAACTTGTGTTTTTTACATGGACAGAAACACGAGGAAAATTCATAGACCTTAACTAAGGTAACAGTTGTGTCTGTGTGCGTACTCCCTCCCCAGAGGCCCGTTTTGTGTTGGAGAAAACCTATAACTCCAACGGACATGTAGCACCACCTGATGAATATATATGGTTTGCTCTCTGCCAGCTCCCGAGGGAAATATGTGGTTCTTAAGCTGCTAAATGCTCCACTGGGTTTGCTGGCTAGTTACTAATTGTGTTTCAGATACAAGGAAATATGAGGGTTCTCCGGCTGGTTAGATAGTGCTAGTGAATGAAGATATTTGGAAATTGTAATGACTCTGTGAATAATGATAATAACGAATAACGGACAGGGTTAATCGATAAAGAATAGTTGCAGTCGTCGTGTTTACAAGCCTGCATTATGAGCCAGTGCCTGCTTTCTGTGACAGTGATCTCTCTGCTTCCCTTCTGTCAGCACAGTTGTCTCAGTTCTAAAGTTATCAGTATTATATTGTCAATGACGGCAATAGTGATGATCACATTAAACTGGGAATCGTTGGAAGCAGAGGCCCGGCTGGCTCTGTCTTCTGTTTGTTTCTGCATCAACGCTTCCAGTCTGTGAGTTGTAGTAAGTTATTTGACAAATAGCCGAAGGCCTGTGTGGGTTGGCTCCGGCGAGGGAGAGACTTGGCCGACTCGTAGAAAGACTTCCTCTGATTATTTCTTAAAGGCCTGTTTCTCAGCACAGCGACAAAGAGTCCAAGTCGCCTGCAGAAACTTGCCCAGCCATCTACCCTCCTGTTTATCTGGCGTGAACGTTGCTCCAAAGGATCTGAGGGGTTCTTTGTGAATAAGCCTCAGCTGCTTCGAGTCTGTAGAACAAAACTGCGTCTGCTTGTTGATGTCACTGTCATCAGCAACACACTTTTATCGCATCCGTGTTTAATTTTACCCGTCGGCTTACAGGAGCGTGTTACTGTCGTCTGAAGAATTACAGCAACAGGATTCAGATTTGACGCAAGAAGGAAGGGAAGGCATTTTCAAGTTGTTTTGAGGAGCTTGCAGTTTTACTTTTTTATATTTTTGGTTCTGTTTTGTCATCTCAAATGAGATCAGTATAAAATGGAATAAAATTAAACTGAAGGACCACGTGAAACTGAAAAAATGGACTGATTTGTACAACTCACAGCCTCTCAATCTCATTTATTGTCAAGCAAACATGGCGTCACATCTAATTTCACTTATCTCTTCCACGTCAGTTGTGTTATTATAACGGCTGTTGATTTTAAGGGGTATTGTTGCAGCTAAGTGACAACAAGAGTCATCTGCTGCTATAAATGTTCAGCAGGGGACTGGGGAATAAAAAGGCCACATAAATGAAGGCTGTTTTTAATTTCAGCCTCAGTTTGAATCTCATAATCTGTGTTTTTCTTTTTTATTTCTTTAGTTTTATGTATCCTGTTGGAGGAGGCTTGGGACCGCCGCAAGGTGAGTCATTTTGCAGTGAATATTACCGCTCTTTCCCTCCAAACAGTTTGTGTAAATATATTCAGCTGAGGAGATGGCACACAAATGTGTTTTGTGTGAATTTGAATGGGATCATAGAATATTGCTTTTTGAAGCAAACTGTCAGGATATTGCACTTTAGAATGTAAACATTGTTTATTTTGACAAATGTTACTAGAAATCTTCATTTTATATAAAGTGGATATTGAAATACTGATTTTCTAACAAGTACGAGCACAATAAGAGTCATTCTTCCCTCGATGTAATCAGTCACACAAGATGTGATCAAAAGTTTCTCGGCTATGTAAATAACTTTAAAAAGTTTGGCTCATCTCCTCTTCAGTGTCGCCTTCTTTGGCAGCCTTGTACTCTTCTGAAAAAGGCTAGGAACTGAATTAAACTTAAATTTAAGTTATGATTACAAAACAAAATAATTTCATCCACTTTCTCTATAGAGCTGTTTGTTTTTTTTATTGTGCTATAATTCAAACGCACTCCGTTCCTTTGCAGTTTGTAGTTTTTGCTTAGTTGACTAAAACAGAGCTTCTCTTTACCAAGATCCATATATGAAAAGAGATGAAGAGTAACCCTGGATTGCTCAGGGTCTGTCACCTGGTCCACTTTCAGCACTATGACGCATTTTAGAACATAAATCCACTCCCAACATGTTTTTAAGTTCAGTAAATTAATGTTTAAACTACAGTATTGACCATAATAGTTGTGATTATGATTGTTGCTTTAATCGAGTGCTTGCTCTGGTGATTGAACTTTGTGCGCTTGTTTTGCTCCCCTGTATCAAACATCAAGCCTTCAGCTTTCATTTGGGGAAGAGGGTGAAGCCAAATCTGGGTTGGGAGAGAAAAATAAACCAAAATGCAAAATGAAATAAGAGGAATGATGAGGAACATGCTGCAAGCATGCTCCTCTTTAGTGCTAAAAGGAACATGGGAGGACAGCCTAGTAGGGGAGATAGGTTGGCTTTTGACGTTAACTTTGATTGTTTTCGTCCTTTCCTTTTAGTTATTGGTCCTTGCAGTTCTTGGGCATATGAGGATCAGTGAGGATTCGGCACATTGCAGCTCATATCTTTGTTACAATGCTCAGCACTGAGCAACGCAGGTCTCAGATGTACCATCATTTAGCTGTGGCTGCTCGTCCTACTCAGACTGTTGGCTTTACAGTAACGCCTCCAGATAAACCACGCATGCACTGGTGGGACGAGCGTCTCTTAGGGGTCATTATATGCTCCTGTTAGCAATGTCATTTTAGTCCAACAAATTAGAATGTGCACAGTCTCCCAGACAAGCCATTTACACAGCCCAGTTGAGCCCTAACACGGTGAATCATCTGGAGGCTCCAGTCGGAGCTGGCTGCTCAGCTCTGGTTGTCAGCTTACGTGGCGTCTCTGAAAATAAACACACACTTTTCCAATTTTTCTTCCCCCAATCCTCTTGTTTTGCTCCAAGTTGTCACAGTAGTCACCAGAGAAACAGATTTGGCTGTTGCAAAGCCTGTGTCTTTTTCCAGCTGTCGGAAGAAATGGTAATGGATTTGCAATACTGAATTATGACCGGCCTCTGGAGGCTTTTGTTTTTTCTTTTTCTTGATAACTTAAACTAAGATAAGTAAGTAAATACATTTTATTTCTCCCAATAGTTTGTAAATTCTTCATTATAGCAGTAAAAACATTAAACGCAGCCTATAACAGTGTAGCTTAATAAAATAAAACATGACCAAAATGAGCTCAATAAGGAAAAATTTACACAAAGGAAAGGTGCAGAGTTAAATGGACATACAGTACATTTTTAAAAACACAAGAATTCCCTGTAAAAACCTGAATGTAAAACAGGAAGAAAAAATTAATAAGAAAAAACAGATTAACTTATTAAACTTGTAATAAATTATTATAAAGAAACCAAGAACTTTATTTATACCAAAAGTTGGGAAGTTACCGTGTTTCAGCAGCCAATAAATCCAAGCACTCATTTGTATTATTAAAAAATTACACTAAATAAGGAGCTCAGATAAAAAATTAAATAAATAAAAAATGAAGAGCTCGATAAATCAGACTCCATATTATTTTGCGGACGTCTCACATTCCCCATGATGATTGCGGGAAGACCTCCAAATCTACTGTTTTCTATGTAGCTTCTCCGGTCTTACAGGCCTTGCTCCGGGCAGTAAAACTGTCAGTGCAATCAGCTGGTGAAGATTCTCTGTTGGCAAGAGAGTAATATGAGGAAAAACTACTAGAAGGCTTGTAAAAATTGACTTTACAAGACCCGTGGATCAAAAAAAGTAGCCAAATCAACTTTACATGAATCACACTGAGTAAAATCAAGGCTATCAGTTAATAAAACCATTAAAATAAATACAAAACAGTATCAATGGAAACTGCATCTCAGTATGGTACCAGGAAAAAATGCAATGTAAAAATTTGAATGTAATACAATAAAAGAGAGTAAAAGAAACTCAATAAATTCAGTAAAGCATAATAAACATGTTACACATAGAATATTTTAACCATGTCTACAGTATGTGATAACAGAGTGTGTGTGTTTCTGCAGGCATGGTACCCATGCAGCAACAGCAGCAGCAGCAACAGCAGGGCTTCCCCATGGTTCCTGTCATGCAGCCTAACATGCAGGGCATGATGGGAATGAACTTTGGAGGCCAGATGCCCCCAGGTGCCATCCCTATGCAGGTCAGCGCTATTTCTTATATGTTGTGCTTGATTCTGTGTTTGCATGTGTTTTTTGGGGGGTGGGGGTCAAATTAATATTTCCCTGAGGATTTATTTATGTATTTATTTATTCTCTTGTAGTATTTTGAGTGAACTTGCTAATTTGGCTGCATTTGGTGCATACATAGTAGTGAAACACTGCTGTATTGATTTAACTGATTTCACTCATGTGGAAGGCTGGCTTTACAGCTCCTATTGAACTCATTTGCTTCCATGTTAATCTCTCCACAAACAGTTTTAAACACCAGCACATTAACAGGAATTTATTGTTGCCTGGTGATGTTTAACAAGACTTTAATCCATTAACATTTTGCTTTCCCTTGGTTAAAGCATTTGATAATCACACGAGCGGAGCAGGAATGCTAAATAGTTTGTTGCATGTTTTTTTGGGGGGGTGGGGGTCTAACAGGGTGGAATGGCGATTGGGATGCAGACCCCTGGGATGCAGTTCTTGGGTCAGCCACAGTTCATGGGTATGAGACCAGCAGGACCCCAGTACACAGCTGACATGCAGAAACAGATGGCTGAAGAGCACCAGTAAGTCATCTTTACACCTCCATTATAATTCCTCTTTGTGTACATCAAGTTTAGGTAAGCAGCTAGCTTAAAAAACAGTGCAGTGGAAAATAAACTTCCCTTTATTACATTCAAATTTTCTGTCAACTTCAGTTCCTGGTTACTTCTCATACTTTTTAATAGAGCCTTAGTGTCCAAATTAGGTAATTTTTTTTCCAAATACACTGAAAGATCTGAGTTTACCATCTGAGAGCATTCTGCTACTTTTTAGGACGTATAATCCCCCAAACCCTAACCCACTAACCCTGTAAAGCCTCTTGGATTAGCTGGAAAATTCATTATCACAAAGCTGACAACATAAAGTTAGGTGATTTTTAAAGCTCTTGAAAAATGGACTTCTTCAACATCTTCTCACAGCACAGCAGCACTCCAAACATCTTAAAGAATATGGGTGCTGGGTTGGGTTTTAATCATGTGTTGTTGCTTATTTTACTGGAGTAAAGTGTCTAAATGCGTCTTTGAGCACTGCAAAAGAAACCACACTTTTCCCTGCACTTTAGTTTATTTATTTATTTTTTGATTTCTAAATGTTTAGATTTGTGTGACTGTACACTTGAGAGATTGGTGCATCTTTAAATGCGATGTCTGCACGTTACATTTAAAGGAACCAAGTGAATCCTTGTTTTATGTCTCACAAGTACTATTTTAGCCCCAAACTGTAGATTGTGCAGTCACTGTTGGTGGATGAGTCCTAATAACCTAGATGGTCCCGTTGACAAGTTGACATTTGTGGTTTTAAATGAAATGTCACAAAAACTCTTAGTTGGACTGCCATGACATTTGGTTCACAGATTCATGTACCCGTCATGATGAATTATAATCAGTTGATGAACTTTGCATTAAAGGCCACCAGGGCACAGTTTAAATTTGTCCAAACACCTGTAAAGCTGATGACATTCCCAGCTGCCTCAGCTGTACTGTATGTAGTGCTAATTAGTGCATGTGAGCGTTTGAAGAAGAAGAATATGAAGCAAGAGAGTAGTAGAGAGAGGAGGAGGGCAACCGGGGGGGAGTAGCAGTCAAACATACAAATAATCTTGTCTCACTAAAATGAATACACAATACAGGATATTAACATGTTGGCTTCATCTTTATACATTCAAATAAATTCATTTTCAATTCAAATTTATTTATAGTCGTGTCAAAAAGTGGTTGCTCCCTTTTTGATTTCCTTTTTTTTTTTGGATACTTAAATGTTTCAGATCATCAAACAAATTAAAATATAAAGATCATGCACGTAAACACAAAATGCAGTCTCTAAATGAAGGTGTTTATTATTAAAAGGAGAAAAAATCCAGACCTCCATGGCCATGTGTGAAAAAATTATTACCCCCTAAACCTTATAACTGGTTGGGCCAGCGTTAATAGCAACAACTGCAATCAAGCATTTGCGATAACTGGCAGTGAGTCTTTTACAGCCCTGTGAAAGAATTTTGGCCCACCCATCTTTGCAGACTTGTTGTAATTCAGCCCCATTGGAGGGTTTTCAAGCATGAACCGCCTTTTTAAGGTCATGCCACAGCACCGGATAAGATAGCTTATCACAGTTAATTCATGATTTAACAAGGTGGTGGCAGTCACTTTTTCTGACAGAGCCATGTAGGTTTTGGTTGTTTTTCCCCTTAATAATAAACACCTTCATTTAGAAGCTGCATTTTATGTTTACTTGCATGATCTTTATCGAATATTTAAATTTGTTTGATAATCTCAAAGATTTAAGACAAAAAATTTTAATTCAGGAAGGGGGGCAAGGACTTTTTCACACGACTGTATATAGCGCCAAATCACAACAACATTGATCTAATTTATGTTGTCAGGAAAAAACGTGCAATACGTCAGGTTGGCCTTTATTGCTTGTCTTAATGGAGCACTGTGTCCAAGTACAGCCTCACAGACCACACGGCTAATGTGTCTTGTGGATTTGATCCTTTTAAGATTATTTTCCAGAACAAAAAACTAACACACTGAATCAGTTTAAGCACCAGGGCTGCTGCTCTTAGCTGACACCTGATCTGATAGCTTTCTGGTCCTCTTCTCCATTAAAATAAATAAATCATTATTTTTTTTATAGATCCTCCTTCTCTTTTTTAGTAAGATGTTTTATTTTCATAATTTTCTGTCAGTTAAATCTGCCCATTGTATCTCAATACTAAAATATAAATATGACAGTTTTCAAAATTTTGCCTCTGTACACCATCGCAATAACTCAAGAGATGATTAAAGTGTATAAAGTGAAGAGTTTCGGCTTTACTTCAAGGCTTAGGAATTTAAATATTATTTGTGCTATTTTTTTAAGAGCATAACTTTGTAATTATAGGTTTGGATTTGCGTTTCCCTTCTTTCTCCTCTCAGGCAAAAATGCAGAGAAATACTTAATCCACAAGTTTATATGTAAAATGGTTAAAGTGATAAAATGTAAGTCTAGCTATAATAAGATAAGTAAACCGCAGAATGAACCGAATGAACTGAGAAATGTTGAAACGTTTTTACAAACTTCCATCAGACAACACGAACCTTCAGCTGCCGTTTTAACAAGCTTCCTTTGCGCTCATCCTTCTTAAGAGTCATATGTATTATGCTGTACTCTTCTTGCCCTTTAGAAAACGTCTGGAGCAGCAGCAGAAAATGCTGGAGGAAGACAGGAAAAGAAGACAATTTGAGGAGCAGAAACAGAAGCTGAGGCTGCTCAGCAGTGTCAAACCCAAGGTGAGCCTCTCTCCACATGTCGTTCTCCTTGTTTTTTCTGGCATGTCCACTGCTCGTTTTACTGACCCTCTGAACTCTCGATACCCGATTGTGCTGCGCTCAGACGGGGGAGAAGAGCCGCGATGACGCCTTGGAGGCAATCAAAGGCAACCTGGACGGTTTCAGCAGAGATGCAAAGATGCACCCCACTCCATCATCTCAGACCCAGAAGCCAGGTAACTTAGCACTTGGAGTTAAAAGTGTTTTCTGCTAAAGCTTCTTGCTTAAAAAAAAACCCTATAATAACTGAGTGATAGCTGATCAACCAGACCACTGTATAATATTCTTTACTTAACTCACCCCTGTGTATTTGAGGAAATTTTGGAGATGCATTTAACAAATACACCGCATCTTGTGCAGTGCTTCCCGACCTTTCTGAACTATGAAACCTAGCAGTATTAACTTGCTGCTCCATGTTGGCAGTTTGAGATCTGATTTAAGGACACTTTTGAGTATAAGTTTCATTTCTGTAATACTATAACCTGCATCAATCATCTCAAGGCTCCTTATAGATTTATCAGTTTCTCCTGGGTGCAGACTTCTGCTTCAGCTGTTGGACTCTGTACAAATGTTGTGGTTTTGAAAATGAATAATCAGAAATCCATCTAAACGACATGTAGTAAATCTGAATATAAGTTAAGTGTTCTTCAGTTTGCAGATCTACAATTTCTGCTCTTGCACAAAAAGTCATTATCTCACTCTTGCACTGTGCAGCTCCGAAATCATCTTCCATTGTAGTGTGTTTGTCATGTGCTGTGCCATCATCATTATTTCTTCATTTTTGCAGACTCATCGCCATCACACCCGTCTGTCACTGCTCCCTCCCTTCCCCCAGCTATGTCTGAGGATAACGATGACTTTAGTGACTTTCAGGGCCCTGTCGATACCCCCACGTCGTTCCCTTTGCCCCCCTCCTCATCCTCTTCCTCCTCCACCACCACTCCCTCCAGCTTCGGGTTCTCCTCTCAGGCCCAGCCTTCATCCTCTGCCCCCAACATAGGTTTCTCTGAGGACGATGACGAGTTTAGTGACTTTGTTCAGGGACCTGTAAACACTTTCCCTTCTGCCAACTTCCACCTCTCCTCTCAGTCGCAAGTCCAATCGACTTTTCCACCCTCACAATCCCTCCCCTCTTCTGTGTCCATTCACACTGACACCCAACACTCTGCTGTCAGCACCAGCACCCAGTCTGCATTTCAAGGTAACTCTTCTCTTGCTTTGTTCACATCTCCCCCTCCCATCCCTCTAATTTGCCCTTTTTTCCACCTAGTTTGGAGGAATTTTTTACATTAGTGATTCTTTTATCACTGATGCTGAATGCTTTTACTGGTAACCCTGGATGATGGGTTCGTTTTGACCTGCATTAATGTGTGAGAGCATGCATCTAGCTAGACCAGCAGATGACCTCAGTACTCAACACTAAAGGGTAAACAAGGATGCATAATAAATAAGGAATACTGCTGAAAATGACTGTTTCTCAGTAGGTTTTTCCCCATGCAGTAGTTGCGTTTGCTTTTGATAGTGAATTTATGATTTGTGCACTGGTAGAGGACTGTCATGTCATTTGTCATTTGCCCTGTAATCTCTGGGATGAGCAGCTGCTCTGTGACAGCTTTCAGTCTCAGACTGTGAATGACAGGACGCAGAGATCACCTTCTGTCCAGAGCAATTCAGCAACCCTCCGTCCAGTGTCATCCTTGATTCTCTGAGACATCTCTGACCTAATTGTTTAGCATCTGGAATAAGCAGATTAGATGGCTGATGGAAAGATTGCCTCTGATATTAAGAGACCTGAGGAATTTATCTTGCAGTGTCTTTGTTGAAATTCAGTCAGGTAACATTTCTGTTTAGGGGGCTGTTTACAAATGATCTCATTTGCTTTTTTAAAAAAATCTTATTTCCAACAAATAACACTAAATAAAATCTGATACTTGGCTTCTTACGCAATTTCTGAAGAAAGGTTTGGTTAAAAAGAAGAATATATTGGTACCCCTTGAGAAAGGCTGTACTTTGGGTAATAATGGTTAAAGTGCCTGCTGTTATCAGCTCAAGAAAAAGATCTGTCACTGAATTTGTTAGTGTGCTTTTGTATGTGGGATTTTGTGTGGTTTTTGGGTAAATCTCCTTAAAGCTTCTTAAAGAAGCCCTGTGGAGTTCTCTAGAGGAACAAAAATTACATTTCTGTTCAGTCTTAGTCATGGCATGTTACTGCAGCTTGTTATAAGTGCAGCAGGGAATCATCTGTGCATGCATGCATTCATCATGCCCATTCTGAGTGTGCATGTGAGAACACATTGGCTGTGTCCCATTTCAGGGTCTGCACGCTTGAAGTACGCGCACTACGCGTACTACGTACGGTGCGTACTATAAGTACGAGAAGTGCGGAAGTGAGAGGCTTGTGAAATGGGACGGT